ACAGTCTGACGTTGTGCAAACATAAGTCCTAAGTCTTAAATAATTTGCAGGATTGAAATATCAAATAATCATCATTTCGAAGACATAAAGCCGAACAATAGGATAGTTGAGACATCTCTAGAGTTTCTCCTGGATCTATGATGTCCCCTACTTTTCTTCCCTTTGGATTCCTTAAATAATTGTTCCTATTTTGAGCCATTTCCATTTGATTTTCCCATGTCCAATCGTGAAAACCTAACCTTTGAAATCTTGAAAGCAAAACCACCTGATCTTAATCGAGAGTTTTCTTAAGTGATTTCGATCATTTAAGATGTAATTAACTATAGGGGCTTGCCTCTATAGGGAACCAGGAACCCAGATAAAATAAACCCTATCTAATTTTTATGTTAGATAGGGGAACTTGTTGGCCTTTTTATAAAGTATTTCGCAGATCAAAACGGATGTCACAAATTGTTTAATCTGGATGATTAAATCCCTATTACAAGTAATATATTTATTCTTCGGGATAAATGTATTGCTTGTAGTATTGTATTAAATCATCTAAACTATTAAAAATGTGAGACTCGTTTGATCTCACTTATTTTAAAAATTAAAATGTTACTTCTTTAAAAAAGGTTATATTTATATTTAAATTATTTTCAAAATCACAAAATCATCACCTTTTCAAACTACGAAAGTCAAGTTGAACATAAAACGGCCGACACTCTCCCCCTCTTCAGTTTTCTGATTCCTCACTTCCTCTCCCCCTCTTCAGTTTTCTGATTTTTCAATTCCCCTCCACCTCTTCGTCTTTCTCGGATATTTGAAACAAAGCGTCAAAATCTTCCCCACTTACAAACATTTTGTCCTAGAGTCATTTCTCATTAACAGCTAACAGATCTAATTTTAGTAATTGGTGTGCAATCCCTATGTGACGATATTCGTTCTCATTTTAAACTACTTAACTCGACTGCATCCTCTTGCACAAATGGCGTCATATTGTGGTACTCCCCCAATAAGTTAACACCTCGGATGGCACAATAAAAGGAATTAATGTAGGACGAAAATTCATCAGAAAGACAGCCACATTGATAGAGTGCTCAACTAGAGCAAGTTATAACTATAGCACTGGATCAAGGAAAAGGCTGTTATCATTGAAAAGTGCCATGCATCCAACTGCAAGAAATAGATAGCAGCCAGCAAGCTCCATGAATACAACTATGAGTTCATGGAAAAGAGAAGAATTTGAGATAAAAAAAAAATGGATTGATGCCCCAACCCCGCATTCCAACATTAGAATAAAGCAGTGGTAATATGGTATCTGACCCAGAAATAGTTTCTCGTATGCATGTGTTCCCTAATAGGTCTCAGGCCTCAGAAGAAAACTAGAGCTTTTTGCGGCCCAATTGCCCAAGCTTAGAAGTTAACAGCAAGAGAATCAGCATAATTATTATGATACTTTCGCCACCCCTTAAGCTACAATAATTGAATCCAATAGGGAAAATCAGCGATAAAATAAGCATTGATCTGTGGAATTCTGTATGTCCAATCACATTGATCTCAACTGTCAGAGAGACATGCATCCACAAGAAACAATCTAATCCTAAAAGTTAGAGAGATTAGTAATGGCACCACATTTTATCCTCCATCTCCTTCCACAAAAAAGCTGCTCTTGTCTTGAGTCGCCTTCAAAAATTCGATAATCACCAACCAGATTGCAAGAGGAGGCCTTCTGCCATCACAGTTTTTTTTCTATAAGAACCACTGAAAATATTTCAAACGGCCACCTCCTGGATCAGTATCATTAAAGCAACCTATTTTGGGCAGACTAATCAGAATCCAAAAACCCCAAGCAGCTGCAGGGAATGCAAGCTAACCAAAAGGTTACTATAGAATAAAATCCAAATAAATTAAAGCTAAAATAAGATAATATAAGATAGATTCAATATCATGAAATTTAAAATCAAATCCACATTATGTTGATAAGTTAATGAAAATATTCAACCCATGTGCAAGAAAGCATAACATTCATCAGTATCTGAAATTTAAAGTTGAACTTTATTTTCAAAACAATTAAGTATTTAGAAATATGCAATGGCAAAAGAAGTAACGACTGATTGAGAGAGATTAATTATTAAATGCAACAATCTAAAACCCATACAAGCCCAGAAAGAAAGGGAAATATACTTTAAAAAGATATCAGATAAATTGTTACACTAGACGCAGAATTTTTTAAAGCCAGCCCAACCTGGCAGCAAGGCCTTGCTTAAGAACAAATAAATATTGAAGCATCAAGAAAATGAAATGTTTAGAACAAAAATTCTGCAAAACTTACAGGAATTGGTATTCTTCTGTCGTGGAAAGCAACATCAGATGCCAAATATACATCACCAATAGATGCCCCTTTTGCCTGAAAGGACCACAATTATTTTTAATACTTCCGATTAATAATCAAATTATACTTGCTAAAAAGCAAATTCATGCAATTGTAAATAACAGGCATAGAGCCCGGATTCTACAAGAATCATTGTAATGCATCAAGAAGCAAACAAAAAATAATAATAATTATAATACAAAAAACAACAATAAAGCCTTAATCCCACTACGTGGGGTCGGCTACATGAATCATTTTTCTCTATTGCGTCCTATTTAGTGCCATATTTTCATTTAGTTCTAATAAGTTAAGATCATTTTTTATATAATAAGCCCAAGTCTTCCTAAGTCTACCTCTGCCTTTCTTAACATAAATTGAATTGAATCTTAACATAAATTGAATCTAAAACATCTACTCTCCTAACTGGATCATCAGATGGTCAATGCTTAATGTGACCAACCATCTAAGACGACTTTCTCTATTTTTGTCCGTCACAGGAGCTACACCAACCCTATCATGGATATATTCATTTCGCATTTTGTCTCTAAGTGTAAACCCACTCATCCACCTAATCATTCTCATCTCGGCAACACTTAACTTAGTATTATGCTTCTCTTTTAAAGGCCAACATTCAGCGCCATAAAGCATAGCAGGTCTCACCATCGTCTTATAAAATTTTCCTTTCAGCCTAAATGGTACTTTTCTATCACACAAAAGGCCCGAAGCATTCCTCCACTTCAACCAACCAACTTGAATTCTACGATTAACATCCCCATCTATATCATCGCTTTGAACAACGGACCTAAGCTATCTAAATCGTTCACACCTTCTAATAATTTGATCACCCAAAGTTACACTTTTGTCACTAGAGCTACTACAACTAAAATTACATTCCATGTATTTCAGTATTAGTTCTACTCAAATGAAGGCGTTTAGACTCCAATGTAGACCGCCATAATTCAAGTTTTTTTTCCTGAAATATTTCTCGAGTCTTATCCACAAGAAGGATATCATCAACCAAAAGCATACACCAAGGTATAGATTCTCCTGTAAATTTCCAGTAAGACCATCCATAACTAAAGCAAAAAGATGTGGGCTTAAAGCCGATCCCTGATGAAATCCAACAGAAATAGGAAAATATTTGGTTCGAACACAAGTAACAGCTCTAGTATACATATCTTTAATGACTTGAATATAAGTCATATCAACACATTTCTTCTCAAAAACTCTCCAAAGGATCTCTAAGAACCTTATCGTAAGTTTTTTCTAAATCAATAAAAATCAAACGTAGATTCTCCTTATTATCTTTGAACTTCTCCGTCAAACCTCTCAATAAATGTATAGCTTTCATAGTAGACCTGTCCGGCATAAATCCAAATTGACTATGAGAAATCTTAGTAATATGTCTTATCTTACGTTCAATTACCCTCTCCCATAATTTTAAAGTATGACACATCAACTTAATTCCTCTATAATTTGCACACTCTTGTGCATCCCCTTTATTCTTAAAAATGGGGACTGAAATACTATTCCTCCACTCCTCAGACATCTTTTTAGTTTTTAAAATAATATTAAAGAGTTTAGTAAGCCAAGAAACTCTCAAATCTCATAAATATTTCCAAACTTCAATTGAGATATCATCAGGTCCTACATACTTTCCACCCTTGGTTTTCTTTAAAATCTCCTCAACTTCTTTTTTGCAAATGCGACGGTAAAAATGAAATGTTTATTATTATTAACGATATTAAGATCACTAAGGTCAATCGTATTTTCAAAAACTTCATTAAAAATTTTATCAGAATAACTCACCCACCTATGCTGAATATTTTTTTCTAAGAAAAACACTTTTTGATTTTCATCTTTCATACACTTTACTTGAGATAAATATTTATTTTTCTTTTCTCATTGTTTGACTAGTTTATACATATATTTTTCACTCTCCTTAGTATTTAATTTATTATAAATATCATTAAAACCTAATTTTTAGCATCACAGATTGTTATTTTAGACTCTCTGCGGGCCGTTTGATATTTTTCTCAGCTCTCTACTGAATTTCTCAGATCTTTAAGCTTTTATATTTAAACCAAATTTTATAACATAACTTCTTATATTTTATCTTTTTTTGTGCATTATTATTCCACAACCAACTATTTTTATTTAAAGAAAGTTTTTCTTTTGATTTTTCAAGTACACCTTTTGTTACTTGTCTAACAATGTTTGTTACTTTATCCCACATAGCATTTGCTTCATCATGAACCCAAATTTTGAAATCTTGAATTTTGCTCAAAAAATAATTTTATTTTTGTCTTTTAGATTCTCTCGTCTAATTCTACGATAGTGAGCCCTAGAATTTTTATTTAGAACTCTTCATCTTAAAATCTAGAACTAATAAACGATGTCTTTATTTATAATAATAATAATAATACATATAAATAAAATACGAAAATATGAAACTCAGGTGCTTAGCACATCATACCCTCCTGTTCACTCTATATTCTTCAATCTTATAACACAGTTGTAAATAACCACTAAAAGTATTATGTTAATCATTTGATTGAAAACAGGTTCTAAAGATAAATATTTTGCAAAAGTATAGAAGATAGAGAGCAAAACACATTCCTCTTTAAAGATCAACACCACCAGTTCCATGATCCTTCTTTCTACAGAATGACTCCAAAAACAAATCAAATTAACCTCTAGACCGAACATTCATAAAAAGAAATAGTAAACAACAGCAAACCCTTAGAGCATTCCAAATTCAAAATCTGATCCTGCCAAGTCTTTATACACCCCATCCTGCAAGTTTCAATCCTCAATACAGCAACGGTGCAGCAAAAATAGATGAATTGTACATCGGGAGAAAAGGAAAGTTATCAAGAAGGGATAGAGTTAGATGAAAGAAAGCAAAAAAAGGGAGGCAAGGCATTGCAAACTCAAATGACTTTGGAAAAGCAAATCATGTGTTAATTTAATTTTTAAGATAACTGAAAAAAAAGAAATAAATAAATAAATAAAAGATTTCTATCTGTTAGTGTCAGTTCAAATGAAATCGTCGAGATGGCTCTATCGTTAGGAGCGAAAGAGAAGACAATGGTGTTCATTCCAAGAGAATAGATGTGTAAGTGGAGCAGCTTCGACGCATGCGAGACGGATGTCGTCCATGAAAAAGTGTAGTTGAGCACATAGAGTGAGTTCGGTTGTGTTCACTTGTGAGTGACAAGCCGAGGAGACAACATTTTCTGCATTTTATTTGTTGCTAGTGACTGGTAGAAGCAACATATGGCATGCAGGCTGAGTGAGGTGTGTCGTGTAATACGTCATGGCAAACCCTCGATCTCAAGGGCCTAGCGTGTGTAGGAAGAAAGAACAACTCATGCTATAGGTTCGGATAGCAAGGGAAAAAGGAAGGGGAGGGGTGGTCGGTGGTGGGGGGCACACGCACAAGCTTATTTAAGACTAGAATTAATTTTATTTCAATATGTTTAATTTAGTTTAAATTGAAGTTAGAAATATTAATTTTATCATATTTTAATATATGATAAAAATTAAAGATCGAAGGATGATGTGACTTAACAATATAATATTTTTCATGGTTAAGTTTATGATTTATTTCACGATTATGGTGATGTTAAGGTTGCCAAAGTTATATATGTTGTGTTTTGCAGTGAATACAGGTGATTAGGCACTTCAAAGAGCAAAAGTTCATAAAACACGAAAGCACACCCATGCCACAGGGCAACACAACCGTGCCACCGACCAAGAAACTGTATTTGGAAAGTTGAATCACGCGATTTCAAGCCCTAACTATATAAGGATGTACGTGAGTCCTAGGGAGACACTTTTGGTTGTTGACGCTTTGCCTCTAGGCTTGAAAATCTTCTATTTTGTTCGCCAAGTTTTTCTCCTTGGGTTTTTCTTAGGAGATGACTTTCCTAAGGTTTTTCTTTGGAGAGTTTTGGAGAGTTGGAGTGGGTGAGATATTTGAGTTCTTGTACGAGGGAGATTGACGTGGAGTGGGCTTGTGTTGTAAAGGGAGGATCGGGATGTACTTCAGGGCAAGAAATTACTAGTTCGATTTATTGTAATTGTTTACATGTTAGTGTTCTTTAATGCAATGATGTTTTCTATGATTTCTACTCTAATGCCTAGTAGCAAAATATTCTCATGCTCTTGTGATTATGATAGGCAAACGAATTGAATGTTTTCTCCCCAAGTTTTTTCTTGCCCTTTTTGTATGTCTTAATTTGATCATATTGAGGTAAGGTAAGCATAAATTTAGTATAGATTTCCTTTTTCCCCTCATAGAAGGCAAATTGATCAGAAAAATGCAATGTTAGTGTCTACAAAGATATTTTATGAAAAACTTTAATACATTAAGCGAAAAACCTACTTTTAGGGTCTATTCTCACGCACGCCTCCCTCGCTCGTTTGTGAGTCCCGCCCCGTCCTTCGTTCGCGAGATCGATCGAGCCCCCCTTCCTTCGTTCGCGAGACCGACCAAGTAGCCCTCTTCCTCGCGAAGCTTTGGCCGAGGTCCCCTCCTCGTACGCTATTTCATCTCTTTGCATGATTGTTGATTTGGGTGACATTCCGAAGCTTTAGGCTTGAACTTATGTATTCATATTGCAAGTATTTGTCGCTTCTTTTGGCGCGGCTCACCGCCCAGGTAAATGACGGGAAACACATCTCCTCTTCCCTGGCTATATAAACCCCACTTGGGGAGGAGTTCTGGGGTTGGCCGAAAATTTTTGGAGAGGGTTGAGGTGCTGCCAAAATTTCCTCTAAATCTCTTTGGTTCGATTTTCCTTACTCTGTTCATCTCTTGTATGCTTGAGGCCTTTTGGAAGTGCTGTGGAGAAGATTTGTGGAAGTTTCGGGGCTGAAATTTCGGTGGAGCTTACTTCCTTTCTGGAACTGTCGTTTTGGGGTTTCTTGCTTTTCTCGTTTCTGATTTAGTGATTAGTTGAGGTAAGCTCCTTATAATTTTCCCCTTCTTCGGCAGTTTAGTTATGGCGAGCTTCATACCATGAGAATCC